TTTGATTAGGTGAATGAACATATCTGGCTGTCAAATTAAAGATTTTAATCAAACGATAGATTACACTTTATTGCAAAAATGTGCAGTTTGAATATCAAGGATTTTATATAAAAATCAAACCTTTTAAAACACATTTTCAAGTCAAATGTAACTTAAGTTTTCCTCTAAACTTTAATGAATCACATTAAACATGTTTAATGTGATTCATTAAACATGTTTAATGAAGTAGAGTATTTATGCTACCAGAGTAGCATAAATGTTGCAGGAAATTCATTTAAACCTGATTTAGTGCTGAGTTTGTGTCCAGCTGAGTGTTTTTATGTCGGTTTTCTTCCCAGACGTCTCAGTAGCTCTTTATCATGTGACTCTGCCTTCCCCCGCCGCTCCCTGGTTATCAGCCCCTCACACTGGTCTCCACCTTTCACTTTGTGCTATACATTCATTTTAAGCTTTCTATTTCTAGAAGTCCACATAAGACTGTATCACATCCAGTTAATCAACCGCAGCAACAAGAGGCGAACAGAAAAACCTCTGAAGGATCTTCCTTGCGTCTTCCTTGGTGATCTCCAGACCCAGATCGGCGAACGACTGCTGGATCTCCATGTAATCTACTTTACCTGTTGGAATAAATGAGCACAGCTCAAGCAGATAAACTCTAAAAACAGTTTTAAATCGATAACTGATTGGCATTTCTCCATACCGTCTTTGTTTTTGTCCAAGCTCTTGAAAGTCAGGCGCAGCTTCTTCTCATGCTCCTTCAGGTACTTGGCGAACTCATTGAAGTCCAGCGCATCATCTTTGTTTTTGTCAGCAGAGGAAATTATTTTCTAAAGATAAAAACACACAGAATATCAGCTGTTCCGATTCCTTACAGGTTTTTCCCGGCTGTTTTTGCAGTGTTTTCTGACCTCCTCGGTGGGTGAAGGGAGAGCTTTGAGCTCTGAAGAGAAAGATGCCGAATCCACCATCACTAACACAAGCAGCAGTTACCATAATCTGCCACTTGGGGGCAGAATACTGTAAAGATAAACTTCTTCCTCTGAGCTCAGTTCCTGTCTGAACTTTGTACTTTGCAGAACTGAAACTAACAGCATTTTAGCTGTTGATTAATCAATTATTCTGATGATTAATCGATTAATCATATTTTTAAAATGAGCACATTCTGCAGATTTGTCATTTAAGCCTTCAGATGCAAATAAGTAAATTCAATTCCTTTTTGGAATAAGAAAATAAACACCATCATGTAAAAAGTTCAGCGCTTTCTGCTTGACTTATCCACACAGTGTTGTGTTGATCTGTTGACTTTTCTAATGAACAGATTAACAAGTGGATAGCTAAAGGTACTAAATAAGACACGTTTTAAACAATTTGAACCACATGAAGCTTAAACTGCAAACTGGGGAGTTTAGGGTAGAATATATACAGATAAAAGTTTATTTTTTTATCTTGAATGCAAAATGTAAATATTTTCTATACAGTTTTGGCTTAATATCTGCTCCAAGTATGTTTTTATTTCAGCAAGTGGCCTTTAAATACTCCAGTTAATAAACAGACAATTACTACTTTAATTGACAATTATTTCAATAATCGATTAATCATGATTAATCGTTTTAGCCCTAATAGGTTAAGATCAGAAATATGCAAACTTCATGTGGCTTTACTTAAGTTAAACATATTCCACCTATTATTTTCTAAATAATGAATGAAAATTAAATCATTTTTGCTCCTGTTAGAATCAAAGAATATAATAAATTAAACCAAAAGTGTTGGGAGAATATGAAAGCAACCAGTAGAGATTTACTACTGCTTATCATATCACAAAGAGCATTTTTCTTATTTTACAGCCCTGAGTCACACACAGCAGGCCTCTCCCAGGTTAATGCTTCAAAATTCACTTCTGACTGAGTAAAGACGAATCCTTCCTCTTACAACCAACAGTGAGATTTTAACTGCAGATTTAACTTTTTTCATATTTCCTGAATTCCTGAACACTTTTTCTGTTTGTTCCTGTGCTTTTCATCCCGCCTGGACCTGCAGGTTTTTCTCCAGATAGTTCTGATCATTAAGATAAACTTGCTTTCTGTGTGTTTTTTAAGCTACAACGTACAAAGATGCAAAGCAGACATGTTTACTGCAGACAAGGTTAAAGTGAAGCTTTGGTTTGTCTTCCCGTTTCTTATTTCTACTCTGCAGTTTGCTGTTTTAGACGGAGGTTCTGCTTAGCGTAGGGCTGCAGTGGATGCAAACGCCTCCAGGGTGTCGACATTAACTGCTTTATTCGGGTCAATTCAAAATGTTCTTGCTGGACTTTAACAGCATGGAATAAAATTCAACCTTGAGTTATTTTATTACTTTAAAACAAAGGTTTTGTCTGACTGCTTGACAATTTATACTCAGTTTTTCTTGCTTTGTGACAGGACAGCCGATCAATAATTATAGCATTTTGTTTTTCATTATTTTGATATGCTTAGATTTTATCTTTACGCTTTTAAAGTTGTTAGACATTAAATCAAATTTATTATTTCCTTATTTTTCCTACAAAAGAATTAAATTACTTTTTGAATGAATAGCATCATAAAAAATAAGCTTGATCACACCATCAAATTAGAATTTATCTATCATCTGTTTACACTCAATGAAAATTAAGCCACAAGCCTGATCCAATGAGAAACTGATGAACATCTTCCCGATTCTTTTATTCACAATAAAAATGGCCAAATAGATAGAAAATAAATAATCTTTTAGACACATGGGAGACTGATTGGTTTATTCTTATTTAGCTTAATCGCACTATAAGTTACAGAAGACCTGAAAAGAGGAGCCAATCTGCAGGGTTCTGACCCGACACGCCGGAGCGGGTTGAGGGAAGCTGCTTTGCTCCAGGGCTCATTTCCACCTCAATAAATACCAACTTTCACAGCTGCAACAAAATGGAGGCTGCACTGAAAAAAATTACTTTTAGTAGTATTTTTACTACGCTGTGCCTTTTACTTTTACTGGAGTAAAATGTTTGGATCCTTGAATGAAAAGCAAACATGTTTTAACCAAAAATTCACCGGACTCAGACACACACCTGCAGTTTTTGTTAAAGTTTCATAAGTTCTTTATTGAAAGAAAATGATTTGCAAACATTTTCGTTTACCTGGTTTTGTTATTTTTAGTTACTCATATGAATTATTGTAATTTTGGTCCTTAAATATCAAAATTTTCATCTAATTTTATATTTTGGTTCGTCTGATGATGTAATTTTTAAATATTAAATGATTGGTTATTTTGATCAGTTACTTCAGTAGACTTAAATATTTATTCCTACTTAATTTTTACTTTTTACTTTTACGAGAGAAACGTGTTTAAGTATTGCCACTTACTTGAGAAAATGTTTTGTGCACTCTAAAGCACATTCATCGCTTTTATATTGTTTTGAAAGTGAAATCATTATGTTCAATCAGAAGTGCAGAAGTAATCAGCTTATCATAGTTTAGAGAAGTTAAAGTTAATATTTATTCCCTTATATCAGATTTTTTTGTACACAAAGTTTTACAGGAAATGTTTCTAACTAAAAATTTGTGCATATAAGTAATACTTATGTAGCAGTAGAAGAGTTTTGAGATGAGATTAAATCCCATCTCCAAGAATTGCACCAACTTGCCTTCAAGCAATTGCAGCTTTATTCAAGAAGCTGGTCCAGCATCAGTTTTCTCCTATTCTTGTGAGTAAAACTGTGTATATACCTTCATATGGCTGCATGTGTTACCTAAACTGTTATCATCTCTGCAAAGTTTCCATTACTAATGTGCGTCAATATTTCGCTGACGTTGGAAAAACAATTTTACAATTTTGCATTTCGATTAAATAAGAAACATAATTAAAACTTTGTTAACACAATAAATCATTAAAAAATATCCTGCGCCATCATCCTCCACATACTTCCTGTTCCTTTCTTCTTCTTCGTGGTTTGCGCCAGTGGCAACGTCCGATTATTGATCACGTGACTCGTTTTGAAGAATGTTTTGTTTCTTACCATGGCCTATTAGGACCATTGTAAATAGAAAGAAGGTGTACATTTTAGCAAACATCTGAGAAATTTTCTAGAAAAAAATACAAACAAGAAAATTGAGTCTGAAAAGTCAAAAATTTGACAGAAAAACTCAGACATTTTCTACTAAAGAAAATTGGAAATTCCTATATTTCAGAAAATTTCCAAAGTTGAAAATTTTCATAAATTTCCAAGTTTTTTTTCTCTCGAAAATTTCTCAGATTAATCTAAAATTTTCTGAGTTTTTTTTTTTTTTGGGCGAAAATGTACTTTTTTTTTTTTGTCTACCATGGCCCTAATACACCTTCATAGTCTATAAATATTTTTGTGTTAAGACCAAAAGTTCCTTCTTTTTATCTTAGAACTTTACTTACATATTGTTGGGAATTAGGCAAAACATCTTGTTGTCAGTACAATATTTAGCACTAAAACCTTTGAAAACCTTTTGCACATTTTGTTTCTCGCCTTACCTGGACAGCCCCCTTCCCGGTTTGGATGCCCATTGCAGCCAGGCCTGCCTTGAGCTCGGAAACATCCACTTTCCCATCCTTGTTGATGTCCAGCTTGGCGAACAACTCCTCGTATGTCTTGGGCGGATCTCCGGCGCACCGACAGTCCGTAAAAAACAGCTTCCTCATTGCGGGATACATGGCTTAAACTTGAAATATTTTTTAAAACGAGGCCTGCGGAGCTGCACACACACAAACCAAACAGCTACGGCGATGGGGAAACTCACACAGATCGGCTCCTGTGGTTGGGCACTTCTGGTTTCAGGCAGAATGATTGCTCCGTCTGATTCCTACAAGATTATCCGCGTTGCAACCTGGAGAGGAAGCTCCTAATGGGACGCTGGAGTGTGTAAGAAAATAGATTAAAATGTTTGAATAAAAAAGTTTGGAGCGGATGAGGTAGGTTGGCAGAAGGGTGGGGAAAGGACTCGGCTCAGTTGGCCTGGAAAGACCTCCTTCTTTTACTGCGCAAACATATTACAGACACACCCATGTAACGACCAGAAAATACCGCTGTTACATGCTTCCTACTTTACAGGTGAGCATAAAACTGTTCCCAAAACTCCTCCCAGTCATGCGCTGATGTAAAACCTTATGGTTGCTTTTACAAACCCGCAGAACCTGCAAATATTACCATAGACTGTGTATAATATCACAGAAACAGATCAGCATGCTATACGCAAAAGAATCCGGTAGGTGTCGCCAAAGCTCACTCGGCAGCTTATTTAGAAAAATGAAACTTTTGACTCGCTTTGACTAAAATCTCCGCATCCATGTTTTCTGTATTTGAGAAGAAAAATATTTCAAAACTCTGCAGTGTTTAGTTTTAACCACGAGGTGGCGACAACGTACCAGACGACAGCAGCCGGTTTCGCTTTGTTTTAATCTGTACAATCGGTGCTGCTGTTCTCCGACTAGCCGACAGGGGGAGATCGAGAAAAGAGGCGGGTTTTATTTTGAAGCTCCATGGGATTAAAGCTGTCACCGCTGCATTTCCCTTTAAGCTAGAGGTATTTCAAAGTAAAAGAGGCATTTCTTATATATTAAGAAAACATAAAAACGCTGACAAGTAGAAATAAAAAAGTAACTGAAACTTTTTAAAATTAAATTTAAATCTCAAGCAGAATTTAAAGGCGTTGCAACTGAAAAGACTGTATGCATATTGATGTAGACTTTTTAAAATATGCTTTTTGTTTTGTACTTCAATAATGATAATGGACTACTAAAGAACCCTTTACTATTCAAAAATTGAGAAAAAGATCATTAAAACTTGTAGATATAAAATATGACACTATTTTATATCTACTGAACTGCAGATATAAAATATGAGCAAATTTCTGCCAAAACGCTCAGAAAATTTTGAGAGAAAAAACATGAAAATTATTGAGTTTGAAAAGTTGAAAATTTGCTAGAAAACCCTTA